AAGAAGCTAGTATGCTTTGCTGAGTGAGGTCAGTGAAAAGCAAAGATAAGTAGAACAATTAGAAACTTAGCTCTCCTGAGAGTGAAATTGGGGGAGTATCTTCTGTTTTATTTTGAAACTGTATCAACCCTCCGCTGAAAGTTCTCTTTATAGAGAAAAATGAATCTAGAGATCTTTTACTGCAGCATGATAGGCAGCTTACACATCGATGTTCAAACGTTTCACATGATAAGGGGAAATTTTATTTCAGTTTTGGCTAAGTTTTCTCCAACTCGCCAAAACATTATGTGTTTCACTACTCTCTGAACGTTTCTGGTATTAAGTCGCAGATGTTTCTCTCTCAGCAACAGTACTAGTTCATGTAAGGCTGCAGTGTTGTGTCAGACCTTTTAGCAGTAACAGCTACTTACACTTACGGTAATTAAATCAACCAAAAAACAACGGCTGTAAGCCAGCGTATGTGAGCAGAAATAAAAGGATGCGCCAAACTGCTAAGGGACCATTGCTTGAACTTTGACTGAGCAGAACCCAAGGATCAGGGGAACCAGGAGTGGTAAAAAAGCATCTCACAATAAGGAAAGGGCTCCCACCACATCAAGTCTTTTTTCCAAAATCAAATGTCTAGCTTTAGTTTTGCTCTTTATTGCTTGGTTAATAAACATCTTTCAAGCAAGTACTTGGAATGCTCTCATAACAGCAAAGCTTGTTTTCTCCCTTTAAAACCTCACTAACTTGTTTTAAAACTAGAATCTTTTTTAAAAAGGAGAATGTTAAGCTGTTCCTTCACAACTTTACTATTTGCTAAAAATTAAACCACACATTTCTCCTTTTTTTTTTTCAAAAGTCCTCAGCAAATTTGAAATGTTTTAAAATTTGCAAAAGTGAAAAAATATGCCTCATTTAAAAAAAAAAAAGACACACTTACCAAAGCTCAAGGTAGTTCTGCTTTTTATGTCCCAGTCTTGTCAAGTTTGTTGGTACCTGATTTTACTTCATCTGTGCTTATCCAAACAGAAATCAATTTCAGATGCTCTCTGTGCCCAAGACAGCATTTAAAGATTAAGTTTCCGGTGTTTAGCTAGATAAATAATTTTACCTCATCAGTTTCCAGTGCAGTACCTTCCCCTCTGGCATTTTGTCATCCTTTCATTTAGTTACGCAAATATGTAACCATCGTGTTTTCATCCCTCTGGTTCGAGAAATGTGAGGTATGCTACTCTATGGCTGCACTAAGCAAAATGAGATATTATAAAGAAAAATATTCAGCACTACCTATGGCACATTACGGAGTATAAACTGTGGAGAAGCTGTAGCTCAACATTTCTGAGCTTGCTCCTTACATACACAGAGAAACTGTAACGGATCCTGCAAAAAATGTACATATTTTATTGGGAGCTGGGGCAACGGACAGAAGAGCACTTACAAATTTTAAGATAACATAAATGCTTAATATGTTCCTTTCCCTAACCCCCCAAGCTGGGAAAACTCCATACACTATCACTTTTGCAAGTCCTTTACTTCTATACACAATGACCCAAGTCTCAAAATCACTAGATATATCTAATGCTTCCAAAACCGTAGAGATTATTCAGTGACTTATTAATCTCATTAAAATACCTCTGGTAGGAAACTAATAATTTTAATAGGAAAGGTACATTCAATATTGTAAAACATTTGCAATATACAGTTTTTACAGCAAGTAATACACCATTGTAGATCTACAAAGATTATTTTTTTAATACATTTGGCTCTTTACCATCTCACGATCCTTTTTAAATAAATATTTAACAAAAGCATCCCACTTCTAAGAATGGAAGTAACATCACAGATAACAAGTATATCAGTCACGTTGCAGAAGTGCTACAACAAAGTCCCTTTCACCCGCCAGTCTTGAGACAGCAAATCCTGCAATTCTTCTTCATCTTCGCTACCAATAGCCTCATCCTCTTTCTCTTGTGCTGCTCTTAATCTCATGGCTTCCTTTAACTTCTCCTTCATCAGATCCTGGCGGTTACGCAAAAGCTCAACACGGCGGTAACATTCACTGTTGAAAAGCAAAGCACCTATTAACACTTTCCACATTAATTGGATTTTCTACAGTGCTGGATTTTGCTTCTCCAACTTTGGATTAAAAAAAGCTCCAATATGGTAGTGCACCTTCTCTGTATTAATCAAGCGGGAAGAGGCCAGGGGAGAGGAGAGGTGTGTGGTCAATTCTCTAGCAATGAGATCTAATCCAAGTATCTAACAAATGCAATACCACCACAGACCAATATCCACTTCCACACAAGAACAGACGTTATTCTTTGCTCCACTTATCCTTTTCATTATGGCAGAAAGGTGAGGTATCAACTGGCTATCAATTTTTATAACTTAGTGATGGCATCTCTGAAAACAAAAAGGCAGCACAAGTGTTCAGATCCTTTATCTACTTACCATGTGCTATAACAGAACATTTTAAGTAAACACTTAATTTACTTAATTTACTTTAAAAGCTCTGTCCTTGAAATATGTTTTATAACTAGCAATTTTAACAGGGTATTTTGTTGAAAATGCCAAGTAGTATCAGCCTGATTTATTTAAAGATATTTGCTTCTTTCATTGCTATTTGCTAGGAAGAGTGAACAGGGAAAGATTATTATCTACATACGGTTTCCCCTTGCATATCTGAGTATGATTACTTACAGTCACAGCTGAAGATCTGAAGGCTAAGGAAAATGTGAATGTAACTGGAATGAATTTGATTTTTAATTTAATTAGAAATAGCCTGCATTTAAATGCACTCAGAATACAAAGCTACAAAAACAGTCTTTAAAAAAATCTATTTGGAACTCTTATTTTGGGGAAAAATAATTATGGTAACAAACCTGGAAATTCTCTACAAATTTCCAAATTTGGTTCTACGTACTATAGCATCCTAAGCTACTGATAAAAATGAATGCTAAAAGACACCCAGGTTCAGCTCAAGCTGTTTCCGGAATTACATGAACATTGTTAAAAGACACTCCTGTACTATCAAACTCAATTTGAACCCAATGCTATTGTTACTATATGCTCATGATCAGTAGCATGTAAATCTGGCCAGATGGCTTAAGTGTTGCTTTAATTTTTATTGTCTTCTTTTTGTTGCAAGGTTCATTAAAATCAGAATTCATCTTTTTCTTTTCAGTCACTACCATTGCCATAACAATTGTTAATCAACGTGTTCAGCTACATGATAATGGTAACAATCTGTTCCACTAAGCTGTATTTCAGGTTACTTATAGAGTTTAAATTAATGCTTATCCAACCGCTACACCTACCACTTCAACAAAACAAAACAAAAAACCCCACTTCATGCAATGAAGTGCATCATTCAACAAAACCTTCAAGTAAACTTTGATTAGAAACAAGGCAAGTTAGTCACAGAACAGGATGTTTTCAGTGCAGCAAACGGATAGTCAAAACACAAATCTCATTATTGAAATTTTAATTGCAGTGCAGAATATCAGACCTTGTTTGTTTAAAATGTTCACATTAATTCTACATCAATAAGAATTCAATTTAGGACATTTGACAGGGACAGTCTGTTCAAAGAATTTCCCTTCTATTGCTTTATTTTGCCCATGCCTGCTTGCTGTATTTTCAGTGATTCTAGTGCATTCTCTCTTTGCAAATAATTACATAACTTTGCAACAAAAGTCATGTTTTTATTAGGTGTCATTCTGCAATTTGAGGGAGTCTGTCTTTCTCCTTCAACTATTTAGGCGATTAATGAAAGAAAATTAAAATTAAAAATGGTTTTACCACTCTAGTCAAATAGCGATCCATTACTGCTGGAGAACAGAAAGTTTGAGGAAAAATTGATCTACTTACATCTGCTCGTCAATTTCTCCAATCTGACGATCTAGTCGTCCCTCCTCATCCTCTTCTGCCACTATTGCTTCTGAAATCTAAACCAGAAAAGCACTAAGAAAATTCACCTTCATCCTGAATTCCACTGTTGTTCCTTTCTGATGTCTGTGTCTTCCCTTCCTCCCCTACACCTCAAGTCAGTGTCAATCTCCTATGCGTATACTCCCACCTTCACAAAAGACTCTGGAGGCAAATACAGAAAAAACTGATCTGGTTTAATTTGAAATGGAAATGTTTTGTTGGTTTTTTTTTTCTTAAAACTAAAAGTTAAAAGTAGTTTGGCTGCTTTGGGGTTAACCTTTTGAATTTTTCAATACACTACTATTTGAAACTGAGCATAAACAAACTACCAGCATCCAAAGTCTGAGACTGAAATAGGAGCTATATCCCCATGCTCGGGACTTAATTACACAAGCTTATTGAAGGTATTAGTTAAATATTCACACTAGATCCCGAAGTGTTTCTAACCTGTTATTTTTTTCAGCATATACTTTCTCAAATCTGAATGTCTGGGAGATGCTATGCAATCAATGGTCCACGCATAACTGAGAAGATTCCTTCTAAGCTGAAGAATTATCTGAATGGCTAATGCTAGCAAAATGTATCCACCACTGCTTTTGTATGAACATTCGCTCTGTTTATAGCGCTGACCACTTTAAAATGAGCAATGATAAATTTTTTTGCACCACTTTTCTTAGCAGTTGACCTATGAGCTATCATTTACAATTAAAATAAAAAAAAAACCCTAGCAAATACTCTAGGGGAAGATTGAGAACACCAGGTATCTTTAGTGATAGTTTTATATTGTACAAAAGGACAGATAAAAACCTGTTCTGGGAAGACTTTCCAAGCAATGCTAAACAGTAAAAAATGGAAGTACGAAAAAACTGTGGCCAACTTATGTTTCTCAGACACAAAATCTTTTGTCACTTTCCCAAATTTTGGGGTTCCTTTCCAATACATTTAAATTAACCATAAAACCCAGGTTACCTATGCTTTATAGATTCTTTTTGAACAAGACAGACAAACGGGTGATGTTTAGTTCTCTTTTTTTCAAGGTGTAAATATGAATATATCTCATCTAAAGAAGAGCCCACAATGATGTTCTGTTTGGATACAGGACACTGATCTGAGGTATACGCTACCTTATTTAAATAAAATATAACAAAGGTAACTAGATATATACTGATGACTGGATCCTGATCAAATGTTTTTTCAACTTAATTTCCCTTAAGTGGAAAATATAAGGAACCCTTTGCTCATTTATAAAGTGCATTTAACCACACACTGCATTGCAACAAACAGCTGACAAATGCAGATGTCAGTAATTCTGCAGAGCTGCATGAAACTGTTGTTTTCCTTATTGTGTATAGTATTTAGAATCAATAAAAATAGTTTCCATTACTTACTGTGTTGACCTGTCGCATTGCCTTTTGAAATTCATCCCATTCTTTGTCCATCTGATCCTTTGGAGCATCAACTTTCCGCACCTAAGGAACATGAAAAACCAGTCTTATTAACAATTTATGTCGAGTGACTCTTTGGGGCACTGTAAAACAGCTGGAAACATAGGATAAATTATGCTGTGTTCTCAGAAAAGTCTGGTCAACATACTTCAGTGTAAGTAATGTATATGAGTAAGAGAATGCAGCTTGCACACTTTTTTGGAGGAAAAAAAAATGGACTCTACTCCTGGATTAAAACAACACCCTTGACTGTATCATTAAAGAATAATTGACTAAGAATGGATGGTGTGGAATGTTTGGATTAAAAACAGCAACTAAGTCTGTTAATTTGGTGGTCTGTAATTTCACTATGTCAGGTGATACCTAACTGTTAAAGTCTTCTAAAAGATGCCTGTTCAATTGTACATAGTAGCTATCTCACAAGCCAAAAAGCAGTGAATTATTTGTCTTTGGCATAAAATACAATATCAAATGATTCAGTCACGAGTCTGACTGGTGTTAGATAGTCTGACTACATTTCAAATCTAGTCTAATTTTTTTGGCTAACAGAAGAAATAGTACAGCTACATACCATTTTTAACAACATGCAAAGCTTTTTCTTCTGTGCTAGACTGCATTGATTACTAAGACAAGACTGAAAAAGTAGTAGCTGTAAGAACGCATTTAAGATCTACAATTAAGGTAATCAAAAACAGATTGTGCTTTTAAAATAAGCAAGTAAACAAGATAATCTACCTGTGTAAACAAAACTTCCACAATTCATGACTGGAAGATGTGGCATATAAAATACATTAGATGACAGATTATGCTTTGCTCTGGACTGGGTGGAAATTATATAGCTAGGAGAACTAAGCAGTTTGAACAGAATAATTCATGACACCATCTTTCATCTTTTTGCATTAATTTTATTTTTCCTTTATTCATTCCTCTCTTTTGGTAACACGTTCGTCACTATCATGGTAAAGACAACAGTTTGGTACGTTTTGTTCCTGAATGATTATACAAAATCCAGTAGTATGAATTAAGTTTATAGAATAAATTAGAAGCTTCCAAGCAAACTACGTACTGGGAAGTAATAGTCATCATTTCATTTTTCTGTTCTGTGATTATTTCTATCATATGTGTATGTACTGTGTTATTATGCATTGTGGTTGTCTTTTGTAATTCATAATTATTTGTATTTCTTACAATAAATTTAAACACTAAAGATATTATTTTTCTTTGAAATATTTATCTAATCCAGAATTTATACGCTTTAATAATTCCTGATGTAAAGAACCACCATTTTTCAAGCCCACAATCTCCCTGCTAAGTGGTCACTGTTAATTCTGAAAATGACAACTTTGTGCGTAATTCCAATTATACACAGCCATCTCAATATAAGCAATGTCACAAACATTTTCCTTCCCCTGCATATTAACTAAACTTAGAAAGGGCTCATTAAAAAGAAGAGCACCTGCAAGCGATTCAGGGAAGAGCTTATTAGAACACATATCCACTTGTAAATTTTGTCAACTGAGGCAACAACCAGAACAAAGATCACTAACCAGTGTCCTCACAGATACAAGCAGATTCTCCTTTGCCTGCTAGGCATTCCCACTTCTTCTCAACTCATGATGAAACTATGTATTCGAAAAATTTAACACTTGATCATATGCAAAAAAAAAAAAAAAAAAAAAAGTGTGGCTTTTTCAGCTACACATTTCAATATTCAAAATGTCATTATTCAAAACTGTTCACATATGCCAACACGTGGGGAATAACCTTGCCAGAGCAAATAAGAGACACCTAAGCTTGTAATTGGGACAGTGGGACTAACTAAACATAAAGCAGCATTATTTGGAAGATCTCCAAATCAGAACTCATGGCTTGACCTCACAATCCAATTTAAATACACCAGCAGCCTTCTACAGTGTGAACAATAGGGAAATATACTTAAGGAAAATAAAAGAGACTTTGAGCCTACACCACTTTTATTTCAGTAAAGAAAACAAGAAAGCCATCAAATCTGTGGTAAATAAAAAAAAAGTTTGTATTTCAAATATCAGTGTTTATTTTGGTCAGGATTTGGTACTGCGTAAATTGAAGGAAGTATGAATTATTTTTATCAATTCCAAGATCTTTAGTTATGGGGTTTTTTTTTAAGAAACACGTTGAATGCCCACATTTCTTTTCTGAGAATCAACAAAACTCATAGTGGTAAAAGACAAGAGTTCACTGTTGTAGTATGGCAGTACTAGAGATTACAGTGTATACCATAATCTAGCTATTTTCATTCTAACAGGATGTATAATGTCAGTCACATAGTAACTCTTAACACTTTTCAACAGGATCTCTCAAAGGACATTAGAGAATTATTTTTATATCCTCAATTCTGAAGCAGAATTGGATATACAAATCACATTAAATGCTTCTCCTGGGATGACTCAAAGAAAGAAAAGTAACAGGTGGCTTGGCCAAATCTCAGTCCAGCATTTTAACCAACACATAACATTTCTTACATTTTCTTTAAGAGCCACAAAGGAACCACAATCAAAAATACATTCTGAGAGATGATTTAACAAGCTCTTCCTGCCCGCCTCTGTCCCCTTTTCATGTCTTCTAATTAATACAGAATGAAATAGTTCAGTCATTTCCTTATATTCTGGTATGACTAATTACCTGGAAAAGCATCCTTACTACTCAGAAAATTATTACAACTGGCAGAAATAAATCCAGCAGCATAAAGAGAGCAGATCACTTACTTTTGCATCCACTTCAGGATCATCAAAGAAACCTTCTGGCAAAGCTTCAGCAGTGTTTTCTTTCCTGAAATGTTTGATTACTATTATCCTGAGTTAACACTTTACAACCTGCTTTATTGTAGAGTTAAAAATAGTCAAGAATAAAATCCACGATCTTTTATAAAAGGAAATGAAACACGTTTGTTTTATTTCCCGAGTTTTACCTACAAACATCAAAACTTTAGTTTAGTCTTACCTAACTCACAAGGAACTGCACAGACAGGTTTAAACCTCGCTGTCAAAACAAGAGCTTCTTAAACTGTTCTTTCCAGTGTGCTGAGCACTCAAACATTTTAGCAGCAGTCTCCACTTTTGGAAGCCTAAACCACTGTCTAAAGAAGTGCCCAAGTGAGCCGAACCATGACTACAGAAAAAGCAAATGGTTTTCTTTAAACAGTTAAAAGCAGCGGTAGACACTAAGCTTCAAAAGTACCCCATGTTAAAATTTGCAATTAGAGATGTCTAACAGACACTGTATGGCACTGCTCCATCTCTTATCCTGCCCCTAGGGTGCGAAATACCTGTCTGAAATAACGTTAGAGGCTGACATACACACAAACTATTCTGAATACAAGTTAGAAATCTGTCGCATTTTTAAGTGATCACAGTCTGTTATGATTCCCAAATTGATCAATATCTGACTGCTTACCTTTCCACTATCTTCTCTTGTATCTCTGCTTTCTGTATGGATCCTGAATGGGAAACTATAGGAGCAGCTGTAGTTTTGCTGTCAAAGAAGTCTATAAGAAAGGACAGAAGCCTATGAACAAAAAGAACTGTTCAAGCTTCTTTATAAAATTCTGACTAGACAGGAATTTCAATTAATGCCTTACTTAACCAAGGGAAGAACAGCCAGACATTATTTCACTTGACAGCCTCAAACAATTAGAACATAAAATCAATAAGCATGCTGAGAAACACCACACAATAACGAACTAGCAAAGAATCTCCTTTCTCTACTTCTGATATTACACACCCTAACCAGCTAATAGGAGTAATTAGAGGAAAAAAATTAAAACCCTTCCATCATCAGCTAAAACACAGCTTCTCCTTACTGAATCACTTCCTATTTCAGTCAGCATTACCTGCAGGCAGAGAATCAGCTATTGCTTCTTGAGTTGGAGGTGGAATTTCAGTTTTATGCATAACAGAAGATTTGTTTGATTCATCTGGTACCTCTTCTTCTTCATCGTCGTCATCATCGTAATTTCCTGACAATAAACTGGGACCTGGACCCTTTGAAAGCTGTTCATTTGCACTATCTTGCTGTGTTTCATCAAAGAAATCTGCTGGTAGCCTAGTAAGAACACACAACATAACTATCTCAAACTTCACAGAAATCATTTACAGTCTAGCATCTGAAGCCTATTCTGGCTTCTAAAATCTTTTAGATACTGTGCAATACCCTGAACTACCAATGTAACCACTGTCTGAAGACAGCACATACTCGTTGCTTTCATTTGAAGTTTCCCATAAATGCTTGGCTTAATTCTGAAATCACATTTCAGTTCCATTTTTGTATTTGATTAACAGAAATATCCCATAACAAAATGCATCTGGAGGAATGGCAGCTTAGGTAATTCTATTTCCGCGTTCAGTTATTTGAATCATTGATCAGGTATATTATACCTGCTATGAACACATTACATACAAAATTCATAACTCGGCGGTCATACTAATGTCACGTAAACCTTGATAACCTTCACATATTACACAACTACTTATTTTGGGTACCTACTGCTGCTCAGAACTGCAGCTTAGAAGAGCCACACAGGCTCAGCAGTGAGAACACCCAGATATGCTTAGGATAGCTGCAGGCCTCCAAGCCAAACATTTTTCCAGGTTATATTTTAAAATAATCATACCGATCAGTTTAATAATGAACAAACCTCTCAACTGTTACTTTAGCATGCACACTCAAAATTTCTACAAGGTAAGTGTCTTCTAGAGTCAAGATAACCGAACATGACATCTCTGCAAGATAATAATAATTTATCCTGTGAAGAAGTGTACAGGAGACCTGCAGGCCTCGTGTGACATCTACCAACACCACAAAGATGTCCAAATACCATCAGATATCTTTAGTGGCAGTAAAATGCTTAATCCAATCCCTTGAAGTCAAATACACTCCTGTATTTGTGAGAGTTCAACTGCAAGACATCCATTTACATTAATTTTAAGTGACAAAAAACATCTTAATAAAGATCTGTTGATGACCATTTTTAGTATTTTTGTGAATAAATACAATTTCAGTGTACATTTAAATAAACATTTAAAATTTGTCTTAATTTCAGACTGCCATCTCTTCTGCAGTATGCTAGCATTAGAGCGCATGCCACAATCTAGTTAATTTTCATTCCAGCAAAGTGTGTAATACCACCACGTATTAATCCTTAAAAGTCTGATAGTGACAGTAAAAGAATTACTGTTTTGTCAGAGACTCGTGAGCTAATACCATGATTTTTCCCATCTGCACTAGGGAAGATGCTGCCATGTTCAGAAATATACACCGACATTAGAAAATGAGCAGAAGCGGGGATCTGCTGACCTCTGAATCTTTACCCTTGACTAGGAAAGACAGATGAGGAAGAATGGGGTGAGACTGCAGCAGTTGGTACAGTTACAAAAAACTCATACATAAGATCTACTTACCCAGATGTAGAGGTATGCGGCTTTTCGTCTTCACCTGTATAACAGCCAAGAATCACTTCTTACAACCCATGCCTTTAAAAGATATATCCCTCAAACAGATTCCTACTACAGCAGCAAGTTCACAAATGCACATTTACATGTTCAATAGCACCAAGGGGAAAAAAAACCCTACCCTTTAGCATGAACTTTCATGCATGGTTTGAAGTAAACCAGTGGCTTGATCCAATTTAACACCACTTTGGCACAAGTGTTTCTACTGTTTAATTTACACTGTTTCTGGTTCTGTTTGGAACAAGCCCACAGCTCCATGATCTAATTTAACCCAAAATCCCAGAAGAAAACTAGGTAAACTACCAAAACTGCAGTTTTCTCTTGATCAGTGAACTCACAGAGAAAGCACAAAACAGGCTTCTTCCCTTTCCAGCCACAACAGACTGACATAAACTCAACACAGGAAAAAAAAAAAAAAACACAACAAAACCAATCAAGATAAAATGGCTAGATTCTGGCGAGTGCTTGATAAGTATTTTACTCTCCTTACCTTTCACTCTCTTCAAGTCTGTATTTTCTGTGTCAATAGTTTTTCTCTTGACAGGATGAGATGATGTGCTAGCAGCTGAACACGTTGCTGTCTGCTTTGTGCCTTTTAATTCTGCGACTCTCTGTAAAAAAGTACAAAATTCAGGAAGTTTTCCTAGCAGGAACTTCTGGATCACAGCTTAAAGCACAACACTTTTAGAACAGTTTATTAATGCAAGCTAGTATCTTTCTAGAACAAGATCACTGAAATAGACATCAAAGATACTGAAACCAAGACCAATGTTTCTGTCAGCCTCTTGAATGATGTGACACGAGAGGAGAGGAATTCACAAAAAGGAGTGTACTCACTGTACTCAGTGTTTCTTACTGTACAAGTTAGAAAGGAAAGGCTAAGATCAGTGACATTTACAGCAGTAAAACACTGGAGAAAAGAGCAGGAAAGCTGGACTCATACTAAGGTCCTGGAACATTAAGTGTTTTAAAATTAAAACACAGCAGTAGTATTAAAGACATGATACTGTGCCTTGTCACAATGATCTACTCAGAACGCAGCCAATGAACTAGGAACCCCTCAGTTCTTTTGCTCTCTTTCTCAGTACTTGTAAAATTAAATGCCATCTCACAGTTTCTGCTAAGCAGCAGCAGAATTTAAAAGGATTAAAAATCAGATTTAAGGTTGCATCCAAGTTGCAAGCTCCCTGAAACTGTTTCACAAATTCTTTACCTTTACCGCTAAATTATAAAGAAAAAAAAGTATATTTTCTTAACCACACGTAAGACATCAGTTGATAACATACAGGTAACAAAGCAATCCCAAGGAGGGTTTCCAAGTCCAAGCTGCAGAAAAGCGACAGTAAAAAGCTGTCACTAACGCGGGAACAGCATCATCTTAAGAGTAGGTCCCTTGAAAGACACGGGACGATTCTCCTAAGCGCTGTCCTAAGCGCTAGGTACATCGGTTTTAAGAAAACAGAACAAGACAAAACAATCAGGCTTGTTTTTACGCTACTCTCTCCCAACAGATGCTCAGCCGTTACCTATTCGGGTACACCTCAGAAAGCAGCAACAGCCCCTCCTCCTCCTCCCCGCCTCCTTCTCTCTCCTCACCTCCTGCCCGGTTACCTCTGAAGAACAGAAGCCCAGCCAGCCCGGAGCAGAGCCCGGCCGACACTCCTACCCCC